TGCGTGCGAGTCTGTGTGAGAGAGTCTGTGTGGGTGTTTAGGGGGTGGGGGTGTTTGTGAAGGTGTGCGTGTGTTTGTGGTAGAAGAGACTGCAGGAGCGGGCCGCCGTGGCACGGCCTCCGAAGTGGTTAGACGGGAGGAGCGCACGAACACACGTGTGGCGCAAAGTAGAGAGACACGAGTAAAGGGGGAAACTGCGCGAGACGCCGTAATAAGAGAGCAGGGCCAGCCGGCAGGGCCGTGCAGAGAGAGAGAAGGGAGTGGAAGGGAATAGAAGGGAATAATAAAGAAGCGAGCATGACGTCCGGCCGTGCGCGGCGCTGTGTGGGGACGCGCGAAGACACGCGTGACAACGCTGGGATGGACGTGGCCGACGTGGCCGCGGCGGGGCCCTTTTCACCAAGGGGTACGTGTTGAGCGGCGCTGCGCGTCCGGGCGGCACGGCGCGGGGCGGGGCACGTCGCCTCGGGCTGGTCCAGCCTCCCCCCCCCCCCAGAACCCTCCCTCACACTGACAAAAAAAAAGGGGACAAGAGAAGAAACCCATTGGACCAGCGAGTTGGCGCAACAACATTTTGTCGAGGTGTGCGTTGGCCATACGAAACAGTTTCTACGGGTAACAAAAGGTTTTTGCAGCAACGCGCACGTTCCACCTTTCCGCCGACAAATTGTTGTTTCGCCGAAGTCGTCGGGCTAATAGTCTTTTTCTCTTTTTTCCAAGTCGGAGCGGGAAGCAAAGTCCTCCCGGCGCCCCTATGCCCCTCCATCCGGGGGGACTGGTGGGCGTGTCAAGCCCGGCCACCCTGACGGACTGTCGGGCTATCGGCCAGTCGGGTGGGTTTGCTGGCCGCTTCCCCGCGCGGGAGGCCTGGGGGCAGAGACCGTCTCGCTCGGAAACAGCAAAAACAAAATTGCGCTAAAATAATCAACCTCACGGGGATTCGAACTTGGATTCCCTTTGAGGCGATTGCCGCCGCGGTCCACCCCTAATTTCCTCACCTTTGTACTCGACGGCGCGCCTGCCCCGGCCTGCCCCGGCCTGCCCCGGCCTGCCTCGCAGTCTCGTTGTTGTAATGGCTGAGTAATTGGCCTGCGGGGCTACCGCCTCGGCAACGCGGCAACGCGGGGCCCTGGCAGTTTGCGGCTGCTTAAGCCAGACAGGCGGAGGGCGGTGTAAGTGGTGCCGTGGACCGCAGCGCCACGGCCGCGCCGCTGCCCACCAACGAGGGGCCCCCGGCAGGCCGGCGGGGCAGGCCGGCGGGGCGCGGCAGCTTGTGAGGCGCCGCCCTCGCCCCTCCCTCCACCCCGCGCACCCCGCCCCCGGAGCTGCCTGCTGGTTCATCCGCCGCCTGCTCGCACTCTCGTCACGTGTGTTACAAAGTATCCTCGCTGCCAAGGCGCGCTGCCCCGCGCAGGGCCTTCGCTAACAGCGCCGCGTTGGCGGCCAACCCCGGGCCGGGCCCTGTCAGGCCCTGTCTGCCGTCTGCCTGCCTGCTGCCCCTTGGTCGTACCGACCACGGGGCAACCCGAGGGGCAACCGAACACGAGCCCAATTTGTTCGCGAAACTTCCAGAGCTTGTCAAGGCGTTTGTTTGCGTTTTCGACGCGCCGCTCACACACGAGTTCGGACAGTCGGAAAGACGCCCACCCACACACTCACTCCCCCACTAACACACGCACACACAGACACACATGCACACACACACACACACGCCGCGCGAGAGGCATGCACTGCCAGCAATCCTGCAGTCCGGCCCTCCCCGAGTCCTCCACGTGGCGCGGGCAGGCCGGGGCGGGCGCCTTGCTTCGCCGCCCCGCCAGGACAGCGAGGACGAGAAAGACCAGAAAGACATATCGCGGCACATCGATAAGGAGGGCAGCGATACGGGGCCGGAATGGGCCGAGGGACGGGCGGGGAGGCCGCACGGGGAGGCCGTTAGCACCGCCAGGGCCAGGGCCCCGCCAGGGCCCCGCCAGGGCCCCGCCAGGGCCCCGCCAGGGCTGGCCCAGGATGACCTCGAGGGGCTCGGTGGGCACGGCGACGAGCTGGCCTAGGCGTGGCCGCGGCCGCCCAGGTTAGTGTGGGCCCCACTGGGGGCACACGTCCACGCCCAAAAGGTAGGGGAGCCCGCGCCCAGGGCACGGTTATGCCGTTATGCGCCTCCCGGGGCCGCGGAGCGCGGAGAGCGCAAAAGCGGAGACACCACACCACGCGACGCGGCAGAGAGTTCCAATAAAGGGGCGGCGCGGCAGGCGGAGGTGGAGGTGGAGGTGGAGGTGGAGGTGGAGGTGGAGGTGGAGGTGGAGGTGGAGGTGGAGGTGGAGGTGGAGTCGGAGGTGGAGGTGGAGGTGGAGGTGGAGTCGGAGGTGGAGGTGGAGGTGGAGGGCCCGCAGGGAGGCGGCGTTCCGTTTCGACAATGTGGAACTGATACCTCGCACAGTCATTATTTTTCATTGAAGTGCAGTCCGCCGGGGCGGCGGCCAGGAACTGTCAGGAGCTCCCCGCCGCGCGACGGCGGCCAGGGCCGGGGCCGGGGCAGAGCCACTCCCCGCACTCATTACCGCCAGCCAATGGCGCCCTCGTCCTCGCCGTCGCGATGCCCCTCGTTACCGCGTGCAGGTAAGGGTCTCCGTCGGGGCGCGCCGCCCGCGCCGCCGGCACTGCGTCCGCCGAGTGGGTCGAGAGGCCAGCTTAGGAGGGCTCGACTTCCGCCACGGTTTGGACTTGTTTTGAGTTCAGCTGCCCTCAAATTGGGTCGCGAGTCAAAACTTGAGAGATGGCAATGGAGGACTGTAGAGCTCAAATCGTGTCCGCCTAAGCTGGCCTTCTGACCCACTGCGCGTGCGCGTCGTCAGGCAGGGCGACCCCGGGGCGACCCAGTACAGCAAAGTATGCCAACTTGACAAAACCTCCAGCTGGAGTTTCGTCATCCCTCGTTATGATCTTTGTAACGCTCGTCGTTCCGGGACATATGAGCGCCTCAAATTTGGACTCTTGAAGTCGGCACTGCCGGCCGGCATGGGAAGTGGGAAGTGGCGGTGGTCGGACAGCACGGCGGAGCGGTTTTGGCAGTCCTCCTCGCGGCCGCGTCCCGCCGCGTTGCGCCGCGCTCGGCGGGGCACGGCGTCACGGCACCCCGCCAGGCCGCCAGGCACCGGTACTGCGGGGGCACTGGTGCACAAAGGGCTGCGGGGGCGTGAATAATGCTCGCCTCCATCGCGTGCCCGGAAAGGCAAAAGCAAAAAGCAGAAAGCAAAAAGGAACGGCAAAGTGGCGGCGGGACATTATTGGCGGCGCGTTGCGCGTTCGCGTTCGGCCGGGGCGCCTCGCCGCGCCTCGCCGCCGCCACGGCGTCACGGCGTCACACAGTCACACGCCACTTCCAGCGCTTCGCTTAGCCTCGCTTCCAGCAGGTGAAAGCGGCTTTGTAATCTGGTGGGGCCGGGTGTGATCGCGGGCACGGAGGGCGCGCGGAGGGCGAGTTAAAGGTCCACCATTGAGCCCGGCGAGGCAGGGCGTGGCGGGGCGTGGCGGGGCGTGGCGGGGCGTGGCGGGGCGTGGCGGGGCAGCCCCAGCCCATCTGGCGGAAGGGATTGGCCCATTGTCCAGTGGGCGGCTGGGCCGGGCTGGGCTCGGTGGCGGGGCCGGCGGGGCTCGGTGTGGGTCTGCCGTGGCCGCTTCCGTCGCGCTGACGAGAAGTACCTGTCCGCGCTGTCTCCGGAAAGAGTGCCGCGCCGTCCGTCTCAATGAGAGCGAGGGAGAGGGGGAGGCCCTCGCCCAGCCTCGGACTCGGCCACCCGCGAGGGTGGCGACGCCGGGTCGCGACGCCGGGGCGTTAGGGCGAGTGGCTTTGGACAGAGCGATATGCCCCGGACGTGACTCAAAGTGATCGGGCCTGTCTTCGCCCCGACCCGTCTTGGCACAGGACCTAGGACCGGCACTCCGGCACCAAGGACCAGGGTCCGTGGCGAATCCACTGGGAACGGCGCACGGCGCACGGCGCACGCGAAAGTAAGAGTCCGGCAGGAGAGGGGCGGGGCGGTCCACAAAGTTCCAGATTCCGGGCGCCTGCCGTACAGGCAACCCATTGAGCACGTTTTTCACTCCATTGCGGTCCGCTGCCCACATCCCCACATCCCCATTCGGACGCGAGAGCGAGCCACTGTCGCCTCGCCGCCCCCTCCCCGCCCCTCGTATATGGTTCTCGGCGCTCCACCGGGTCAGCGGCGCAGAGCAGCGCGGCAACCGGCGAACTCGAGTTTCAAAACAAACTGAAGAATCCTGTGCTGAAGTAATTGTTGATTTTTGATTTATGAACTCATCTTGAAGTGGTACGTACGTATAAAGTGGCCACCTTTTTCATTCATGTAGATATTTGGTTACAATGTGTGTTTGAAATCATTTGGCAAGCGCAACCCGCGATTATTTTGAGGTTATGAAGTTCGCCGAGATGTGTAATCATTTACGTTGGTGAATAATGTCAGCACTGGGCTGAGGGTTGCCGACTCTCTGTGGAACTAACTTTCCACGAGTAACAATTACGTGTGGAATTCATGCACTACGAACCTTGCATGAATAGAAAACAGACAAACTCAGAACTGGTGGAATGGAACTTCGTGAGGTATTCAAAGAAAATCGTTATCAGAATTAACCACGGGAGCCACGGGACGTATTTGGCACGCTAACAAGCCATTTTAAAACAATCCCACAAAACCGAAGTGAACTACTGAGTCCGATCGGGCTCCATTCAATTCCTGAAATAGAGCTAGTTAATGTTCTGACGTTTTGCTGGTGTACACAGCCTTGCCTTCCTCCCCTAAAAAAAGTCTCTAAACTCTGCCATGTTTCGTTGTGCTCGCGCCCACGCCGCTGGGACTAAAAAGCCGACACTTGGCTGTTCCTTTGTTCTCCCCTGGCGCAAAGCAGCTTATTTCCCGTATCTTTGCTCCGCAGCCTGCCAGCCTGCCATGCCCCATGGAGGTTGCCCCGGTTGTCCGTACCCAGCATCCTGATGACGCGCGCCTGCGACGCGGCGCTGCCCGCGCTGCCGCTGGCGCGGACGCTGCCCGTGGAGCCCGCCGAGTGGCGGCGCGCGGCGAGGGCGCGCCTGGACCGCCGCAGCCGCAGCCCGATCAAGATGTACAGCACGGAGATGACGAGCAGCGGCGCCACGAACACCAGCCCCGTGGACAGCAGGAAGGCGTGGCTCACCAGCACCTGCACACAAAGCACGCTCGCTAGGTAAGGAACATTTTTTTCAGCACCTCGCGACTTAACGACCGCCGCGTCGCGCCTGGGCTGGGCCCCGGCCCCACTCTCGCGGCGGCCTGATGTATGCCCTTCGCGCCGACGCCGCGCCGCCGCGCCGCCGTGCTGACAGCACGCATTCCCATGGCGCCCTGACTCGCTCATGGTGCTCTACTCCCTCTGGCGGTGTCCTGGCCGCGCCCCGAATCCCGCTCACTGTTAGAAGAGGGTTCGACTTTCGAACCCACCTTGGCTCGAAATACGGCCTTAAGTAGGATCGAACCCATCTCGGTTCGAAAATCGGACGGGGTGGCCGATACATGCAGGGTTCGATATTTTGACAAGATGAGGGTTCGATTTTCGGCTCTGGTAGGGTTCGATTTTCGGCTTTGTAGGGATTGAGCTTCGCTGAGACAAGTGAATTATCAAACTTGACCAAATAGACATTTGCTTACAGATTTAGATTTGTCCCGAGAAGACAAACAAAAAATGTCAAGACATGTTATGGGTTAAAATAGAAAATGGAAGAGTTATTGGATTTTTAGAGTGCAAAAATGGTAAAAAAGACATTAGAAGTTGAATAACTCTTTCATTTTTCATTTTAACCCATGATATGTGTTGACATTTTTGGTTTGTCTACTTGAGACGAATCTAAATCTGTAAGGTGATGTGTGTTCGGTCAAGTTTGCTAATTGACTCCAGGCGCTGCCGTACGAAAGACCGCAGAGCCGAAAGCCGGCGAAGCGGTTGAAAATCGAACCCCGCGTCCGAAAATTGAACCCACGTGGGTTCGATTCTACTTAAGCCCGATTTTCGAGCCGGGCGAGAATTGGGACCGCCTATCCACGGTTCGAAAATCGAACCCCCTTCTAACAGTGCTTCCCTCATCCGAAAAAGGAATTCCGAATAGCAATTTAACTTGAGAACTCCCCCCTCCAAATTCCCGGTTTGTGGTGCACGCCGCTTGTACGGCTTTGGCCGCTCCTCCCCCGCGGCGGGAAACCCCTCCGGCGCGGCGCGCATGTCGGCACGAGATCCAAAACTTTATCCCCCTAACTGTTTTTATTTTATCTGTCTCTTCCTCTGGTCCGCCCGCCGTCCGCGGCGTCCGGCCGCAAAGCAGCCATTGCGCGGGCTAGGGTATTCCTCGTCCCCTTGTCCCTCCAGTCCGCGGCCCGCGGCTCCGCTTCCTCGTCGCGCCCCAATCCCGCTTCTTATCCTCCCCGCCGGCTTCGTCGGCGTCCTCGCCCGCGTCCTCGCCCGCGTCCTCGCCCGCGTCCTCGCCCGCGACCTCGTCGCCGTGCTCACCCGCTTGACGGTGCACTCCGACATGTCCCTGCCCAGGGCGTCCCGGCCGCGCACCACGACGCCGAACTGCGTGGCGGGCGGCACGGCGAGGACCAGCGCCAGCGCCCAGGACGCCAGCACGCAGCGCACCGCCCTGGGCGGCGAGGACATGGCGCGCGCGCGGAAGGGCCTGCAGATGGCCACGTAGCGCTCCATCGTGAAGGCCGTGATGGTGAACACCGTGGCGTTGGCCGACGTCTCCGCCGCGAACCTGGGGGAGCAGAAGCACACTGTTAAGAGGCTGGAGGGCGCCCGGCGACCAGACCTGCCCGCCGCGCACCGCTGCGCGCTGACGCTCTGGGCTGCCTACCCCGCAGACCACAGGCGCTCCAGGAGGGGCTTCGGGTTCGCCGGGTGCGCGCCCGTTCATGGCCCGCACGGTCCGCCGGCTGTGGACATGTGAGTGCGCTGTGTTCGCACTGGGTGCGTCGCAATCCAGCGAAAGGGCCGGGAAGCGTCGCTGCCAACTGGGGCCGCCGGGGAGGCGGGGCCGACAGGGACGACCGGCTGGCGCGCTGCTGGCGCGCTGGCGGAACAGCCACTTGCCGCATTCCAGCGCTCACATGTAGAATGGAGATGAGATGAATACATCATCCCAGCGAAAGTACATAAAAATCACGAAAGACACATAGTCTAAAGAAACGAGGACGCGGAAGCCATACATTCTTCGGCCTGACGGCCTGGCTGCCTGACGTCTCGAAGTGGAGAATAAATAAATATCGCGGCGGTCGCTTCCCATTTTTATTTCCCGCGGCGCCAGGCCGGGCCGCGCCACTGGCCGGGCCTTTGGCCGTGCCCCGCACACATTCATTGGCCCGCCGCGCCGCGCCCCGCCTCGCCCGCCCTGCCGCCCTGCAGACCATGTGGTTCGACGTGGTTAGCGATGACCTGGCCACTCGGCCACATGGCTGCACGTCATGGCCCGGCTGCGTGCGAGGGGGCCCCCTCCCTCGGGCTGCGGGCACGCTGCAGTGACGCGGTGCGGCGCCGGCTATTTTCCGACGCGTCCGCCCCGATCCGGCCCCACCCCGCCCCGCCCCGCCCCGCCGTACGCCGTCTGCAACTGAACGCTCCTAGGTTTCCATCGCGGGCTGCGTCCAGAGGCGTCCGCGCGGCGCCACTCTTCGGACGCCGCCGAGGACTGTCCCGCGACTCACAATAATTTAGAATAACGAGCCTGCTGGGCAGGGCCGGCGGCCAGCCCTGCAGTGTGCCAGCGGGGCGGTAGCGGGGCCAGGGGCGTGCCCGGGTATCCCGGTCGCCTTCGGGTACGCCCTGCCGCGGGTACGCCCTGCCGCGGGTACGCCCTGCCGCGGGTACGCCCTGCCGCGGGTACGCCCACGCCCTGCCGCGGGTACGCCCTGCCGCGGCCGGTACCGGTATCCAGTGGCAGGGGTCCTCGCCTTGGCCTGGCCGCCGCCTGGCCTTGGTGGCGGTAAAGGGCAAATGGAGAGCTGCCCCTGCGCGCCGTGCCCGTGGCCGTCCGTGGCGGTCGGTCGCCGAACTGGCTCAGGGCGGCTTGGGTCCGACCGTCGGGCTCTCCATCAGCCGGCCGGCCTCACCGCGACAACCGAGGGGTGACCCACTGTAAAATTTTGTGTACAATGATTGTGTGAATGTGCAAGAATGTGCAAGATTTCTTGCTTTTTTGCCACACTTGTTGCCTACTTACAGGCGTTTTTGCCACCTGAATGTGGAATGTGGTCAAATTTTGTACAACGAATGTGGGAAGCTGTTCCCCCCTCGGCGACAACGCCAAGCGCGGTGCGGTGCGGGGCCATCAGCGCGGCGTGCCTATACACGCGTTCAACCTGTTGATGGGAGGGTACCGCACCCGCGCGGCGTTTGATGGCGCGTTGCTGCCGAGTCCCGTGCCCCACGCCCCGTGCCCTTAGCGTTTGGACGGGCCGCGATTGGCGAGGTCCCTGGACACGCCCTGGACACGCCCCGGATCCGCCTGGACCCTTTGCCCGCCTGACGGAAACGCCGTTCCATTCCGCCGCCATGAATCATGTAATAGAGCAGGTCTTTCGGAAAAGAGGCTCGGCGTGTCGGCAGTTACGTTGTCAAGGGCGGTGAGGCCCTCCTACAGTGGAGCGGAGGGCCAGCCCCGGCCTGCCCGCGCCTCCTCGCGACCTTCAGGGCTGACGGCCTGACTGGCCGGCCGCTCCTTTAGCCCTTTGACGAGTCCTCTGCTCCCGGCCCTACGGCCCCACCGGGCCCCACGGCCCTGCGGCCCTGCGGGGCCCTACGGGGCGCCATCGCCGGCGCCGACCCTCGGGAGCGCGGCTCGGAGCGAGGCGAGGGCTTCCTGAAGTAAGATGCCGTCAATGACCGCGGCTGGTCGCGCAGTAAAGCAAACGGCGGGGGACACGGCCGGCGCGCGCGCGCGTGCGTGCGTGCGTGCGTGTGTGTGTGTGTGTGTGTGTGTGTGTATTCGGAGCACGTGTGTGTGGAGAGGCGTCACGCGCCGGGGGACAACTTTGCGGCGCGGCGCCGTGCTTGAGGAAGGCCTGGCTTGTGCGGGGCGGCGGGGCGGCGGGGCGGCGGCAACGTGAGCGGTGAAGGGGCGACAATATTATCGGATATGGGAAGGGCGGGAAGGCTGCGGGCGAAAGGGCCAGCCCTGGCCAGCCCTAGCGCGGCCCGGCCAGCCCTAGCGCGGCCCAGCGCGGCCCAGCGCGGCCCTTGCCTCCAGGGACACGTGGAGGACACGTGAGCCACGCGACGCGTGTCGTGCTGCGGCGGTCTCACTCAGCCTGAGGGCGAGGGTGACGGCGGGGATCGTGGCGGTCGCTTTGAAACGCGTACCGGAAACGGACGCAGCTGTATAATTGGGGTCAGTGGCGATGCCATGCCGCGCGCTCGCTCTGCTTGACGGGATGGTCGCGGCAGTGCGGCCTCCCCAGCAGCTTTTCCTGCAGGCCGCACTCGCCGCGTGGATTGGCCGCGGGCCCCGGCCACTCGGGGCCGGTGTGTTGGGGTCCAACCGAGGGTCCAGCGGCTTGGCGCACCGCACCACCTGATGCCATGGCCTGGGTAGCCCAGTCCCGGGGCGAAACATTAAGCACACATGATTTCAGATCGTACACTGTTGCTTTCGCACTGCGTTTTCACTGCCGTGGTTTGCACTGATTTTCCCCTAGTTTGGGTGTTGAGAGTGGAGCTCCAGGCCGCGCCGACAGGTGATTACGCAAGTGGTCCCCGCACTGTAAAAAAAAAGTTGCAAATTTTTGCTACTTGGGTGCTGAAACGCCCCTGCACCCACCCTTCGATCACGAATTTCACAGCCCAAAGGGTTGCGAAATTCAGTAACCCACTGGCGCCAAAATTTTGTTGCCCAATGGGTGTATAAGGGAACCGTTCTTACCCAAATAGTGAATTTCTCACGTGGGCAACAGTAGGCCCTCCCGCTGCCCAAGGTGCATAAATTTTGCATCTTGGCCGCAAGACGCTCCCCAACTTGCCCACGTGTATAGATCCCGGTTGGAGGTAAAATGCGGGCTGACCTCAGAAAAATCACGAGGTGCATGGGCATCGAACCTGCAATCTCCACTCAGGACCCAACCCCTCTGACCACTGCGCCACCACGCTAGCCAGTCGAAGACGCTCGGCGGAGGCTACTTGACCCAGCCGGCTCGAGACCGTCTGCCGTTAGCGGCGCCCTCGATGGATGATTTGCATTTGTGGGCAAGTTGAGGAACTCAGCTTAACCACAATGTTAACTTATCTACAGGTGGGCATGGTGGGCCATCCAAGAATCTCCACATGTGTAAATTCTCTCACGTGGACGGCAACTTTTTCAACCCACAAGATACTAAATTTGAACATGTGGGTGAGCTCAGAGCCCAAATCACCCAAATCATGAATTTCGTCTCAGATGTACGGATTTTCGACAACACAATAGCAAATTTCGCTGTCCAACGGGTCGATGTATTTCATCAAGTGGGCTGGTACAGTGGCCTTCTGCAACCCACTGGGTGCAACTGGAGTCTTTGTACATTGGGTGGCAAAATTTAGCATGCCAATGGGTTTCAAAAATTTGCAACATTTTTTACAGTGCGCCCTTCGATTCCAGAGGCGACTCCAGCCGGGCCAGGCGCGTCAGGAGGGGAAATGAAACGTCGAGATTATTTTTCTACGCGGAGAAACAGAAACCCCTTCCAGGCCCGCCAGGCGCCCCTGCAACGCGGAGCGAAAGTAAGTGGAGAATGAGGATACAAATTTAGAATGGGCCTCGGGTCGCGTATCAAAGGCCACCTGCGTCGCCGCCCGCCCGCCGCCTTTGAGCCTGACTGACAACGCGTAAATGTGTCCACGGGTGGTGAGGCGCTAAAGCGCCAAAGCGCGCGCGAGAGAGAAGGAGAAAGGCACTGAGTCGGCGTCGACGACAGCGCAGCGGCGCTGTATCCCCCGAGTGGGATACTGTATCGCCTCGGGCAAAGCAAGTGCTAATATCGCCCAGCCGAGTGGAGTGGAAACTTTGACGAGTAGCTACTTGCACCACTTGCCTGCGAGCTGTTATACCGTTCCCCCTCCCCTCCTTTCGCCCCCTCCCCTCACCCGTTCCCCTCCCCCTCCCCCTCCCTTCGCCCCCTTTCTTTTCCCCGCCTCTTCATCACGCCGGCAGACTTTCTGGAATAGTAAAACTTGGCGGCGTTTCCCCGCTAAATTAACTCGTAGGCGATGCGAGATAAATCCGAAATTCACTCTGCGCTTTTCGCGTGCGGCAATCGGCTGCGAGGGCGGGCCTTGACTATGCAGCAGGGGCAGCAGGGCACGTGCGCTACGAACCACCGACGTCGCCCCGGCCGCCCCGGCCGCCCCGGCCCAGGTCCAGGTGGGCTACGAATCGGAAAAGCGACCTTGAATCAATACCAGGTGCACCCCGTTGCCTTGAACTGGGACCGGCGGGGCAGCAGCGCGGGGAGCGTTTGATTGGTTGCAGGGGGCGGAAGAGGGGGGGGGGGTAGCGGCAGGTGCAGTTGGAAGCTGCAGCAGCTGCCGCATGCGGAGCACAGCGCCGGAAGCAGCAAAAGACTGCCGCCGGAAGGCTGTCGGGGGCGTCCGGTGCGGACCAAAGCGGACCGGAGCGGACCGGAGCGGACCGAAACGGACGACCCGGACTTTGGTAGCGCCGCTCGGATTAGCACAGTTTTTCCGAGAAAGTATGATGATCAGAAAAGCGACTCGTGTTGGTAATGAGGATGGAAACAGTTTGGACAAAGTTGGCTCGGCTCGGCTCGGCGGGGCGTTCCGGCGGGTTATCCGGCAGGCCACTATACTTTCATCCCCGATTCCCTCGTTCTCCGCGCGCGGACTCTCGGCGGCTGGGCGGCGCGTTGCCTGGCTGCCTTGCCTGGCCGCCACCCGCCCGCCTGCCTGCCTGCTTGGCGCGGCGCCGCGAGGCTGCCAGGGTCCTTCCCTTCCACATGGTGCCGCTGTATACTGCTGCTGGAATGGATCCGAAGCGCGCCACGGCCCGCCCCGCCTCGGCCGCAAACGGCTTAGAACGGGGCGGCAGCGCGGCAGCAGTAGCTGGGCGGGGCGGCGAGGCGGACACCCAGGGCCGGGGGTCCGAGGGGCAGGGCCGGCAGGGCAGGGCCGGCAGGGCTTTTTGTTCCTCCAAGAATGCTGGCGGCTGGCGCTGGGGCTGGCGGCTCCGAAGGGTCCTGGCGTGTATTGCCGGGCTGCGGGCCCAGCCAGCCCAGCCCGTTGTCTGCACCACAACAGCTCTAATACCGAGTAACGCAGTAACGCCGGGCTAACGCAGCTAACGCCACGCAACTTGGCCGTTGTGATGGACGCCCGGGCGCCCGGGCATCTGGCGACAGGACGACTGAAAGGTCGGCGGGTCGGGCGCCCGGCCGGGCCAGGCCTTGGCCAGGCCGTCGCCCTGTCTCTCTCACACCCACTGTCCCTCGGGACGCGCCCTGGGTGCGAGGGAGAGAGAGGCACTGTCCACGCAGCAGCCCGCGGAAGGGTGCAAAGGTGCATTCAGCGGCAGTGAATGAGGCATGAGTGCCAAAGGGTGTTTGGCCGGGCCGGGCCGGGCCGGGCCGCGCGAAAAGAAGACCGAGTTCTAAAGGACTGGGTCGCTGGGCGTGCCAGTGCGCGCCCGCAGGCCGGGCCGGGGTGTCTGGTCTGGTCTGAACCGCCCCGCCCGCCCCGCCCCGCCCCGCCCCATCGCGAGAGCGCTGCTGGGGGAGGCCGAGGGGAGACGGGCAGAACGTCGCGCTCTCGCCATCCTCTCGCTGCGGGATTTCGCCAGGAATGATAGCGTGCCCCGCGTCGGCGTTCCCGGGCCGGCTCCCCTTGGTTCCTCTTGGGTTCCCCACGCCGGTTGACAGCCGAGGCGGCCGCATGTCGGATTCACATCATGCAGTGCCACTTTGTGTTTGCGGGATGGCTTGGCTTCCACCAGCGCACGGCTGGAGCTGAAGCAGCTGAACCCCCTCAGTGCGGGCCGGGCCAGCGGCAAGGCGCGCGGTGAGCCACTTTGGCTGGCAGCAGCAGCAAGCAGCTGGAAGGGAGGGAAGGGGGTCCCTTTTCTTCCGATGCGCGCGCTGCCAGGGCCGTGCCAGGGCCGTGCCACAAAGCAGGCCCTGTGTTTCCTTGCGGCGCCCCATTAGGGTGGGAAGAAAGCCATCGCGGACCTTTCCGGGGATTAAAAAGCATGGCGAAGACACTGAGCAGCAGCGGAGGCCTGCAGCCCGCAGCACGCCGCCGACTTGATTACTGTCGCGTGAGCCAGGAGCCTCGCGGGCCGTGAGCCTCGCGGGCGGTGAGCTACAGGTGCCTCATTTGCGGCGCGAGACCCTGGCAGGCCTGGCGACTGCCGGCGACAGGCCGCTGAACCTCTCTAACGGTGTGGCTTACCCTTGCAGGAAGCAGAAGACCTCCCCGAAGAGGTACGGGTACCGCGACCAGATGTGGCAGATCTCCGGCGGCAGCCCGCACACGAGCAGCAGCAGGTCGGACAGCGCCAGGCTGAACAGGTAGTAGTTGGTGGCGGTGTGCATGTGGCGGTTGCGCGCGATGACGATGCACGTGGACACGTTGCCCAGCAGGCCGAACAGGAAGATGAGCGCGTACACGCACGTGATGGGCACCACGATGTAGAGCGGGTCGCGCATGGCGGCCGTGGCGAGGCCCAGGCGCCGCAGGTCCTCCTTGGCCACGGTGCACACGGCGGCGTGCGGCGCCTCCAGGGCCGCGCCGTTGACGGCGGCCCCGGCCACGTCGTCCACCCATGCCGCGTAGTGGGTCTCGTTGACGAGGAAGTGGCTGCCCTCCGGCCCGACGTCCTGCAATGCAAATTCACCCGAGTTGGTCGATGTTTCTCTCAGCAGCCTCTGTCTGCTCGTGGAACCCCTTTTTTTTCGGCGCTTGTCCCCTCATACGGGTTATTTTACGATATCACTTTAATTTAGCCCCATTTTATTGCATTTAATTTTGCGTCAGCGAGATGCGCCCGTCGCGGCGGCAATCAGTTTAAAGAATGTGCGGGGGCACGCGCGCGGCCCCGCCCCGCCAGGCGACTGCATAGCGGCCCGTAAACCGCCGCGGCGTGCAGCTGCCCCTCGATCTGCTGACGCGCGCCGCGCCGCGCCGCGGGTCTGGCCGCGGGGCTGACGGGCCGACTGGGTTTACGGCGCGCACACAGTGTAGCGCGCCAGCTGTTACATTTGTCGCGCAGTGAGCTGGAGCCAAGTGTGCATAGCGCAGCGCAAATGAGGGTCTGTATTTCTGGGCGAGGCGCGGATAGGTTTAGTGCCACTGCAGAACACACCAGGGCCCTGTCGGCGCTGTCGAAGCGGGCACCGCCTTTCCTGCCGCACTGCCGGCCGGTCCACTCACCTGGATGCCGCTGTGCAGGCCGCCGTCGCGAGTCACGTTGGCGATGAAGTGGATCAGCGCCTTGAAGATGGCGGGGCTGGAGCTGCTGCACTTGCCGAGGACGTCGGCGCGGTCCCCGCGGTCCTCGCGGTCGGTGGCGTTCATGCTGGCACCAGGACGCCGCCGGCTCCGCCACCGCCGCCCCCGGCGCCGTGCATTCTACGAAGGTGTGGCGTGGGGGCGGCGGGGGGCGGCGACAGCCCGCGCCACGCCGTGTCGGCCCGCCGGCGCGACCACTCGACGGGGCGGACGGAGGCGCCGCGGATTAGCGTCCTGGTGGGGACGGCTCGGCCTGGCGGCTCGGCCTGGCGGCTCGGCGGCCTGGCGGCGCGGGGAGGCCGTTACGTGTTGTTCACGGCGTCTTCGGAACTATTTCCATCGGCGCGGCGCGGCGGGGCGCGGACTGGCGCGGCATGGCGGGGACCTTCCTTCCTCTGGATGTTGTTGTTGGTGTTGCTGCCGCCGTTGCTGCTGGTGCCGCTCAAGTGGACCAATTCATTCCCTCAATGGCTCAGGGCATAGCCAGGACATGGCGTGCTGCCGCCTGCTGCTGCTGGTCTGGTCGCGGCGATCTCTTCCTTGGTCCTGGCCGTGTCCCTGACGTCCCTGACGGCGATACGCCGCAGAACACAGTGCGCGGCCACGGCCAAGCAATGTGCCGGCTCGGCTGGGTTCGGCTGCAACAGACCGGAAACAGGAGGTTTGTAGTTGGTCGCTACGAATCGGGTACCCTTGCTCCGGCGCGGTCGTTTGCCTGCCGGTGGGCGGGGACACCGGACCGGACCGGACCGGCGCGGCGGGGGCGTTCGTCTTGGCGGCCTCCGGGGCCACCTTGACGCAGCTTGCCGCAGCGTGGCAAACTGGAGGGTGAAACCCAAAGCCTGTCGGCCAAGTAGCGCCAGGCCCGCCAGGCCCGCCAGGCCCGGCCGGGCTTCACTTCACACCAGCAAACTCATCAAACACGGTGCACCGCCACGTCATGCTGCCGAGGGGGAAAGGGGATCCCCGGGCCGACGCCCCGCCCCGCCCCCCCCGCCCGCCCGCCCCGCCCCGCCCGCCCGCCCGCCCCGCCCCGCCCCGCCCCGCCCCGCCACGCCTCGCCTCGCCTCGCCCCGCCCCGCCCCGCCCCGCCGCGCCCCGCCCCGCCCCGCCAAGCCCCCCGAGGGCTGCGCGCGCGCTTTCACCACCAAATATTTACTTACGTGGAATGCCAATTTGCGGCAAGATTCGGCGATTGGCAGTTTCTTGTTTTTGTTATGCGCCGCCCCCCTTCCGCGGCGCGCTCTTTCTAAACGGCTGGGCTCTCTGCCAGAAGGGGAGGGGGGGGGGGCAAAACGGACCGGCCTGGCCGTGGCGCGCGAGCCGGCTACAGTATCCCCAACACCTCTCCAATAACTTGGTTGGATCATTGACTTGAAAAATACGGGGGCGACCACCCCGGTTGACACTTGGGCGGGGCGGGGCGCTGCCCTGTCGCCCTGCCTCCTTCGCTGCCCCGGGCTCGGGGCGCCCTCCAAGGCGCCCTCAGGCCGGCCGGCGACCCGCCTTACCTCGTTTGCCTCTGATTTGCGTGGTGCGTCGATGCGGCGCCGGCCGCGGCTTATTTTCCTCGATACATCGCCGGCAGACCGAAAGTCGCTCTGTCTCTCTCGCACTCATGGGGCGCCCCGTCTGGGTGCGAGGGAGACAGAGCGGCGAAAACGACTCTCGGTCTGCAGCCTCTCCGCGAGACGCGACACGCGGCGCGGCGGCCCACGCCGTGATTAGCGCGGGATCTACGGCCGCGGCGCGGTGAACGGGCCCAACGGGCCGAACGGGCGGCGCGGCACAACATGTTGCAGCGCTGCAGACCCGTCGCTGTCTCTCTCGCACTCGGGGGGTACGTCGCGACGCGTCGGGGTGCGAGAGAGACTGGGCGACAAAGAGTGATGTTCGGACTCGGCCCGCAGGAGCGCGCAGGCCATCGCGCGGCAGGAACGCGGCCAGGAAATGCTAAAAACTTAGTTTCCGTTTGCCGCGCCCTCGCTGCTGGTGCTGCTGGTGCTGCTGCTGGTGGACATGGTGTGCTCAGTGAGGCGGCGCCGCGCCCTTGAGGCACTGGGATCCCGGTCTCGGCCGTAAAGAGTTGCACTGCGGACGCGCGGGCGGCCGAGACTGACGCAGTCGGACGCGGTCGCAGACTGTCGCCCGATGCCGCGGGTTCGCGTCGCGACACCGCCTCGGCCGTCTGGCTGGCCGGGCCGGGCCGGGCCGGCCGCTCACTCAGAATAATGCCCAATCAAAAGTTAGCGAGCGCAGCGCGCCCAGCAGGCATACCGCGGCTTTGGCCAGGCCGCGGTGTCGCGGTGTGCGCACACCACACCGCCGAGTACACTGCCGAGTCCCCGCCGCAGCGGCATGTGGAAGGGGGGAGGGGCGTAAATCTGTCCCATTTTTCTTGCTTTCTGGTTTGCCATGTTGCCGCAGACTCGTCGCGTCCCGTGCCGCGTGGGGCGGGTTAATAGAAATGCCAGGTTCATGTGGATGGCGCCTTGGGCGTGAGGAAGGGACGGCCGACCGCCCTGCCTGCTTGCCCCTACACTGGGCGTGGCGTGCAGTGACGTAAGGGGGAGGGGGACGGGTGCGCACTGTGTGCCTGCATGCATGCAGGCGCCGTGACACAAACACGCATTCTTAGCACCGCAGCGTCACCGCCCCACATCATCGTGACCCTCATGGCCTCCGCGCCGTGCATCGCGCCGTGCATCGCGCCGCTCCAGGCCGATGCGCATTGCGGCCGCGCTCGCCTGATTAAGCCTGGAGGGCTGCTCCCCACCTGAGAGGCAGCCGAGAGGCAGCCGCCAGCCGCTTGTGCGGTTGACGTCCACGCCTGCCTTGCCTCGGCTGTGCCGCTCCGCTCCGGGTCCGGAGCGCCGCCGCCCGGGGGGTAGTCCTCCCGCCGCGCACGCACGCGCCGCTCGCCGTGGGTTGCCTAGCCCGCGTCCAGCAGGCGCTCCCCGGCCGGCGAGGCGAGGCGAGGCAGGGCGAGGCGAGGCGAGGCGAGGCGAGGCGAGGCGAGTGCCCGAGACCCCTCGCCGCGGGCAGCGCCGCCAAATTGACCGAAGCCTGTCATTTTCTTCTTTTCATCCGCGACGGAACGGAACGGGCGGGACGTCGATTTTCTTGTCCACGTGAAATATGGACCGCCTGAGTAAATTGGTGCGAATCGGGGAAAGCAATCCGAGAGCCGCGGCCGCCTGGCTCTGCCTCGCTCTGCTTCGCGCGCCCCGGGAACGGGGTCAATAATTCGGGAGCAAATTGAGCCGAGGGGGCGGAGGGGGTGGGGGCTGCGCCTAAGAGGCGGCGCGACGACGCCGCCTCGGCCGCCACAATGCATGCGGCACTGGGACGTGCCGTGGGGGCTCAGGAGTCGGCTTACGCCCGCCCCGCCCCGCCCCGCCCCGCCCCGCCCCGCCCCGCCCCGCCCCGCCCCGCCCCGCCCCGTCGCGAAAGGGGCAGGCGCTTGTCTCTGGCGGATAACTAATGGTACACACTTCCCGCTCCCCCGATGCAGCTCCCGGGCGCGGCGCTGGAGGCCGACAGTAAAGGCGCAACTGCAAGCCGACGCGGCGTGGCGTGGCGGGGCGTGGCGGGGCGGGGCACAGCGCCGCTGGATTCCAGACGAGTTGGGCGCCGGCATCGCTTGCTGAGTAGCGCCGTTTTTGCGCGGCCCGCCCCGCCTTGCTCGGTCGGGGAGTTCCATTGCAGCGCTCAGCGACTCCAGGCATGCATGCCGGGTCTGGCTGCGCTCCTTCGCTGCCGGCAAGTAAGTACTTGGCTTGTTTCGAGGAATCCCCCCACCGCCACGGCGCGCCACCCCCGCGGTCTGGGCCAAGTGGGACAGCGCGGGGCTGCTGCGCGCTGCCGCGTCCGGCGCCGAAAACGGCTCGCGAATGCTTTGGAGGTGCGCGATGGTGCCACTTAGCAGGCGGACCAAATGTGCGCGCCTCGCCCCGCCACGCCCCGCCACGCCCCGCCACGCCCCGCCACGCCCCAGGACGTCTCTTAGTGCGGCGTGATGGAGGATAGTAGTCGCGCTCTACGCGACGCGCCCGACCCCGAGTGGCGCGAGTGGCAGAACACATTCCCAGAGCGACCGCAGAGCCGCAGCGCCGCAGACCGCACGGCGTACAAGTAGGGGAAACGCAGCGCGCTCGCGGCGCCCCGCCACTGTGGCGTCTGCCAAGCGCAGCGCAGTGCTGCGAGGGGCAGGGCCAGGACAAGGCCAGCTTCAATCGGGGCCTTTTGACTCGACCGGCCTCGTGAACGTCACATCGCTGTCGCCCGATCTTTTCCCGTTTTCCTCTTTATCTTGCCACTCCCCTGCGAATCTGTTCCCACTTTCCCCTCGCGCGCTTGCGCCTATTTGCCCGCCATCGCCGCCCTTTAAATAAGCCCCGGGAGGCCTCTGCGAAATGCCGTTTGATTGGAGGGAAAAGGGAAAATTGTTTGCGCTCCCCGGCCGCCCCGTCAGACCGTGAGGCCGCCGTCGCCGCCGGGCCCACCGTCGTCAGGCCTTCCCCGTTGCCATTGAAATTCGAGGACGCTCTGTCCTAGTCGGGACCTTGCCGGAATCTGGAGCCGAACGTAAACAAATAAGGTTACGCTATGTGGCCCGCGACAATTCAAGGGACCCGCCCCGCCGCCGCCGCACTGGGCCCCGCTGGGTCCCAAGACGGCGCGTTCCAACTCTGGAAGCCCCTCTGGCTCTGTCTGCTCCTCCCATTGGGATTAGAATTTAACACATGAGGGTACCAGTGGATCGCCCTTGGAACTCGCGAACCCGTTTGTACCCAAATGTGTTTGATTCGAGTCCTCTTCCAAGGCCGTAAACCCCGACCTTGATTCGTGGCGCTGGCCGTGGCCATCCTCCCCGCCGTCTCGGTCCGGTGCCCGGCAAAGTGTGATGCGTCCTCGCCGCCCTCGCTCGGTCAGGTTTTAATAACGGCGCCGAAGTCAGCAGCGCTGGCGAGCGCTGGGCCGGCACTACAGTGTACTCTACCCTCGTCGCTCAAGGTGTTTGCACAATGCCCCGACGGCGGCCCAGCCCTGCCTGCCCAGCCCTG